ACCGCTTGAGCCACATCCCCAGCCCTAACCAGTGCATTTATTAATTCTTATTCCTTACAAGTCTACAAAATCCTGTTTGGTTGGGTGTGGTGGCATACACCTGTTATTCCCAGTGATCTAGGAAGCTGGGGTAGGACTTGGCAACTTAGCAAAAACCTGTATCAACAGAAAAAAATAAATAGGGTTGGGATATAGCTCAACAGTAGAGTACTCTGGTTCCATCTCCAAACTGGGAAAAAAAAATTTTTTTTCTAAAGAATATTCATGACACCTTGAAATGGTATAAAATTAAAATATCAGGGCTGGGGATGTGGCTCAACCGTTAGCGTACTCGCCTGGCATGCATGTGGCCCAGGTTCGATCCTCAGCACCACAAAAGATATTGTGTCCACCGAAAACTAAAAAATAAATATTAAAAAAAAAATTTCAGTGTGGAGCCTGGGGTTGTGGCTCAGTGGTAGAGCACTTGCCTAGCACATGTGAGGCACTGGGTTCAATCCTCAGCACCATATAAAAATAAATAAATAAAAATAAAGGTATTGTGTCCATCTACAACTAAAAATATTTTTTTTTTAAATTTCAGTGTCATAAATAAAGTCTGCTTGGAACCAGCATGTCTATTTGTCTACTTATCATCCATCTGTGGCTACTTTTGTACTGCAACAAACAGAGGAGAGTAGTTGCAACAGAGGGATGACCTGTAAAGCCTAAGATATTGACCATCTAGTTCTGTAAAGAAAAATGTTGCTCAACCCTGAACTAGAGCTGAGGAGTCTCATTTTGTGATGAAAGAGGGAGGCAACCTGTAATCCCAGCTTGGGAGGCTAATGCAGGATTGCAAGTCCCAAGTCAGCCTCAGCAATTTATCAAGGCCCTAAGCAACTCAGTGAGACCCTGTCTCTAAATAAAATACAAAACAGGGCTGGGGATTTGGCTCGGTGGTTAAGTGCCCCTGGGTTCTATCCCCAGTATCCAAAAAGAAGAGAACTAGCAACCTAGCTCCCGGGGCAGGGGGATTCTGCTCCCATTAGTGGGCAGGCCCTGTACCTGCCTGTTAGCCTAGAATCTCAAGGATAAACAGTCTGCTCCTTTTTATAGTCACCCCAATCCTCATTTCTCCACCTTTTTTCCCTTTTCACTCAAAGTTCTGTTGAACTCTCTTAAGGGATTCAGGCAAGGCTTAGAAAAGTATCACATACAATTCCAACTTGGGACCTTTTTCAAACTACTGGGCCTCTTCCTCAGGCCACTGCAGCACTGCTCTCTGGCATTCAGAAGAAATGAGCTAATCTGTCTTGTTTCTGTACCTCCCTTTCAATTGAGGTGACATGTTCCCTAGGAGCTGATTGTCATGTCTCATATTTCTCGAATCTACCCACCTTCAGACCTCAGCCCTGAAATACCTTCCTCTTGAGTTGTCCCCCACCTCCTAGGTCAAGGAACCCAAGATCAGTTTGGTGATTGTTGCCAGTTATGCTGAGTTAACTCAAAACTGTTTCTCTTGTTGACAGGCATAGACTTAGGTACTTTCCTGAGACTTTCTACTTCCTGTATAAAGGAGGAGTCTCTCACCTCTTCATCACTTGCCTGTGACAAATAAACCCCTCATGCTTTTAAGTTCCCCCACCCAGCTGCCTCACAGCAGCAGAGATGATGGATTTGAAGGGTATTTTTTTTTGTGAGGGTACCAGGGGCACTCGACCACTGAGCCACATCTCCAACCCCATTTTTGTATTTTATTTAGAGACAGGGTCTCATTAAGTTGCTTAGCACCTCACCATTGCTGGGGCTGGTTTTGAACTCATGATCCTCCTGCCTCAGCCCCCCAGAGCCGCTGGGATTACAGGCGTGTGCCAGTACCCCCTGTTTGAGGGGTATTTTGGGAAGAGAGGAAATAAGCCTATGACTACTACATCTTTTCTCCCCAAACCATAATCTACTCTATCAAGATGCTCCATGGTTCAATTTACTCTGGTGGGAGAGGATGTTAAGATGGAGAGCAAGAAATTAAAAAGAATCTGCTGGAGAGGATCTGCATTTTGTTCTCTGGCCCTCCGCTGGCAATGTCTACCTAAATCCTCAACCTTACTTCTCATACGTGTTTTCTGAAAGAAGAAACATGACTTAAGACTGAGACACTCTTGAACTAACTGTGGGCCAGCAGCCTAGTTCTTGTGCTTTTCACTCCCAGTTATCAGAGAGGCTGAACCTGAAAGAGTAGAGGGGAAGGGAATCCGGCCACCCCTGCAGCTGTGAGCACCTGCTTACAAGGGAGGCAAGACTAGGGGGTTGGGGAAGTCTAGGAGCTAAATTTAGCCCGAAGTCTGCAGCTTAAATTGGGTGGGTATTTACCCGCTGGGAGGGGGAAGGGAGAGGAATCCTGACCCAAATGAATTTTTGTTTCTTTTT